AACCAAGATCAAAACAAATCGGAGATGATAGCAAAGTTTGAAAAGCTACGTCCCCACAAATTCCTTGGTGGATCAAACCCCCATGAAGCTGAAGCTTGGTTAAGACAAATTAAGAAGTTGCTAGATACTTCTGACATCCGAAATGAACAAGATAGAGTGACTATAGCGGCATTTCAAATGGAAGGGGAAGCAGATCATTGGTGGGAAATGATCAAAAGTACTCGACAAGTAGAGACATTAACTTGGAGACAGTTCGAAGACCTGTTCATGGAAAAGTATTTTCCTAACTCGCTAAGACAAGAAATGATTCAAGAGTTCCTTCAACTGAAACAAGGAAAAATGTCAGTCGCTCAATATGCGAACCGTTTTGAAACCCTTTCACGGTATACTTCAGCCATAGTTGCAAATGAAGGGGATAAGGTTAGGCGATTTGAATGGGGTTTGGACACAGACATTAGAGGAAAATTGATCGCAGTACAACTCTCCACTTATGCCCAAATGGTGGATCGAGCTTTAATTGTGGAACGAGAGTTAGCAGATTCTGAACGCATTCGAAATCAGCGATCAAGGAACAATAACCAACCACGCGGAAGAGGCCCAGTCCGCAACACCAGAAACCATCCTGCGCCAGCACCTAATGCCGGAGGGATGCAGCAGCAACAAAGACAGAATCGAGGAAACCAGCAAGGAGGAAACTTTGTAAGTGAGTGGAAAGGAAGATGTTTCGGATGTGGTCAACAGGGGCATCGTCGAAGTGAGTGTCCTCAAGGAGGGAAGTATTTTATGGATCAGCGAGGGGCACAACCATACAACAAATGCCAACCAGGGCAAGGTTATAAGCCTACTCAACATGCCCAGACCAACAAGGGGCAGCCTCAAGCCTCTAAGAATGCAGGCCGACCAAGAACGCAACCACAAGGAGCTGGAAATGGAAAGAAACTGGGAGAGACTAACCAACAGGCAGTAGGAAGAATGTATGCTCTCCAAGAAAAAGAAGATGTTGATAACCCATCAGTAATTCAAGGTATGTTAATCCTTATGAATTCTTGGGTTAAAGTATTATTTGATTCTGGAGCTTCGCATTCTTTTATATCCACTGCATGTGTGACAAGTTTGGGTTTAAAGCCAGAAGCGTTAGAGATAGCTATGAGTGTCGCTTCACCCTTAGGAGGTCAAACCCGAGTAAATCTAGTATGTAAAACTTGCGAGCTAGAAATCTCCGGTTCACATTTGATCTGTGATCTAAGAGTTATGGATATGTCGGATTTTGACGTCATCCTAGGAATGGACTGGTTGTCAGTTCATCGAGCCATTATTGATTGTTACTGTAAGACAGTGACAGCATCCTCCCTTAACGGCACGAAAGTCCAATTTAAAGGGGATAGACAAGATTCTCTAACTCCAATGTGTCGCAAGTCGTGATGGCATGATCAACTAACTGGATGGTTGGCGAGCCTAATTTTGGAAGACGAAAATCGAGAGGATCCAGGATTACCCTATGTAGTGTGCGAGTACGCTGACGTTTTCCCTGACGAATTACCAGGATTACCTCCAAAACGAGATGTAGATTTCATGATTGGGTTTCAACGGAAGACGGTGATTGCTTACTCTCAGGATGGAACATGATTCCAATTTAAAGGGGATAGACAAGATTCTCTAACTCCAACGTGTCGCAAGTCGGGACAGCATGATCAACTAACCGGATGGTTGGCGAGCCTAATTTTGGAAGATGAAAATCGAGAGGATCCAGGATTACCCCATGTGGTGTGCGAGTACACTGACGTTTTCCCTGACGAATTACCAGGATTACCTCCAAAACGAGATGTAGATTTCATGATTAAGCTTCAACCTGGGACTTCACCGATTTCAATAGCACCACATCGTATGGCGCCAGCTGAGCTTCGAGAATTGAAGGAACAGTTGCAAGAACTGTTGAATAAAAAGTTCATCAGACCCAGCACATCCCCTTGGGGAGCGCCGGCATTATTCGCGAAGAAGAAGGATGGAACCTTAAGATTGTGCATCGATTATCGACAACTAAATCGAGCCACCATTAAAAATCGATATCCTTTACCCAGAATTGATGACTTGTTCGATCAATTAAGAGGTTCAAAATGTTTTTCCAAAATTGACCTTAGGTTGGGATACCACCAACTTCGTGTCAGAGGAGAAGATATACCCAAAACTGCATTTCGAACCCGTTATGGCCACTATGAGTTTATGGTAATGCCATTTGGTTTGACAAATGCTCCTGGGGTATTCATGAGTTTAATGAACAAAATTTTTACCCCCTATTTAGACCAATTTGTGGTAGTATTCATTGATGATATTTTGATATACTCACGATCGGAGGAAGACCACGAGCAACATCTGAGAACCGTTTTGCAAATTTTAAGAGAAAACCAATTGTATGCTAAAGCTAGCAAATGTGAATTTTTTTTGAAGGAAGTAAAGTTCTTAGGTCATGTTGTGTCTGAATCAGGGATATCAGTGGATCCTGCTAAAGTAGAAGCAGTAATGGGGTGGAAACAACCTAAGAATACGTTTGAGATTCGTAGTTTCTTGGGATTAGCAGGTTATTATAGGAGATTCATTCAGGATTTCTCCAAATTAGCCAAGCCGATGACACGCCTAACGCAAAAAGGAGTAAAGTTTGAATGGAACGAAGCGTGTGAACAATCATTTCAAGAACTCAAGAAGAGACTGACAAGCGCTCCTATATTAGTCATACCCGAACGTGACGTTGGGTACACTGTTTATTGTGATGCCTCTAAGGAAGGGTTAGGTAGTGTGTTAATGCAAAACGGGAAGGTAGTAACTTACGGATCAAGACAATTGAAGAATCATGAGAAAAATTATCCTACTCACGATCTGGAGTTGGCAGCTGTGGTCTATGCACTTAAGACTTGGCGACATTACCTTTATGGCGAAAAATTTGAGATATTTACCGATCACAAAAGCTTGAAGTACTTGTTCACCCAAAGAGATTTGAACATGAGGCAGAGACGCTGGATAAAGTACCTTGAAGATTACCAATTCACCATATCTTATCATCCCGGGAAGGCTAATGTTGTAGCAGATGCACTAAGTCGAAAGACAAGGGAGATTGTAGCCAACATATCAATTAAAGAATGGGAAATGGTAAGCACTGTGAATGGGTTTAAGTTACAACCAGAAACTCAGAATGGGAAGGGTAGGTTGTTTACAATAGTTACAACACCCCAACTTCTTACCAAAGTGTTGGAAGCCCAAAGATTTGATCAGGAGACCGACTTCATCAAGGCTCGATTAGTGACTGAGGAATCTTCACCGGATTGGACACTCCATCAAGATGGTAGTTTAAGGTATTTAGGTAGAATTTTTGTGCCAAACATCGAACAATTAAGAGAGGAAGTACTTAAAGAAATTCACCATTCGATTTTTGCAGTTCATCCGGGAGGAAATAAGATGTACCAGGATCTTAAGCGACAGTATTGGTGGAGTGGAATGAAGAAGGATGTTGCTCAATTCGTATGTAAGTGTTTGACGTGTCAGCAAGTGAAGGCAGAACATCAAAGACCGGCAGGGAAACTCCAACCTTTACCAATACCTAAGTGGAAATGGGAACACATAACAATGGATTTTGTAACGGGATTACCCCGGTCGCCGCAAGGCCATGATGCCATTTGGGTGGTGGTTGATCGATTAACTAAGACGGCACATTTCCTACCAATAGGACCACCAGGCACACTCGAATCTTTAAGCCGATTATTTATTCGAGAAATCATTAGATTGCATGGAGTACCAGTCTCAATAGTGTCAGATCGTGATTCTCGTTTTACGTCACAGTTCTGGCAAAGTCTGTAAAAGGCCTTGGGTACAGAGTTGTGTTTTAGTACAGCTTTTCACCCTTAAACTAACGGTCAATCAGAAAGAACAATTCAGACT